TTTAAAGATCGAATTTTGACAAAATTTATCAAATTTAAAATTGAATAATTATTTTTAGTTAAAAATTTATAAAATGTTCAACTTTTATATCTAAGGATTGAAAATTTAAAACAAGATTCCACATAAGTAGTTAATTCTGTTACCAAAAAATCTAAAAAATACATTTAAATAAATAAATACAGTTTATTTTTATAGTCATTTTAAGTTCGAATTTGGACGAAATTATATAATAAATAACTTAGAATAAATATTTTAGTTATTTTGTTATGATTGTATATTATTCGTGGGTACTTGAAACTTCTAAAGTGTTATACTATTATATATCAATGATAGTATCACGGTTTATTGTTGATTTATAACGCGTTATAATTACCTAATGGATATTGTGATATGATTAATTTGGAATTTATTATAGGTACCTATTATAGTTCAATTTTTTTTAATACCATAGATAAGTATATAATATGTCTTTTACCTAGGCTGACATACCGTACCAGTGTCTTTTGTCCTCGGCACCCACGTATTTGTGAAAATTCATCCATCGACAAATTCATACAGAAATTCTTCTTGTTATATGTGAACACCAGCCGTCGTCAAGACAATGCATTTACTCTGGCAGATCTAGACACCAACAGAACTATTGGACCTTACAATTTGGTTTATCTCCGTCCGTTCCATAAACTGATCAGTTCACTACTGCAGCAGGCTGAAGTCATTGTTTGAATGATTACTCAGGAACCATACAAACGGCCCTAACACATTTATTCTCTAATATTTCAGTCAATTATTGTTTCTTATTATTATTATTATTATTATTTAAATTTGCGTTCAGACGTCGTCATCCATGAAAGCTCTCCCCAATGTGGCGAACTTTCATGGATGGTTTCTGTGAAGTCCAACGCAAACATTTATCTACATGGATACATAATTGAATAATTTTGGTAAATTACGTAATTAACCTATTAAAAATTTTCGTCTACCTCCATAATATATATTATAATAATATAAATCTATATATATCCGACTGTATACTGAATATGTCTATTAAAATCAATATATTTATACCCCCTCCCTCCGGCCTTGAAAAATCCTAGATACCCTACAGGTTGTACCAGCATTTTCTTTTAAACATATAATATTGTACATATTGGTTGTACCAGGTCTGTTTATTATGTACCTTTTTCCAATAATTTAAACCTGTATGTTTGATATTATTCATTTTTAGTCGAATGCAATGTACTATATAGAAATGAGTCTATATAGAAAAAAACCATGTGTGTTACCAGTACGCGCGCGGGAAGTTAAACTTCTTTTGAATGGTACACGTGAGTGAGTGAAAAAGAAAGAAAAAAATATTAATTAATTTAAAAAATGAGAAGAAGTATCCGGAATTATTTATCATTGATAGTTTTATTATTTTTTTTATATTTTTATTCGACAGATCGATGGATAATTGTTTGTAGTATTGTTTTTATCCAGACAATAGATTTGTGAGTGAATACTAATAATAATAATAAAAATAAATAATAATCGATCATTAATTATTCATATTAATTAGTATGGCCCGATTATAATATATAATACTAGCTGATCCCGTGCACTTCGTCGCCCTTTAAATGTATCAACTCAATATGAGTTATGACTCAAACTTTGTTCAATTCGTTATTCAATATTCGGTGTATGGTGTTCAAAATTTATCTTATCTTTTCCGTTGCCCGGAATAAAAATTCTGAATCGCAGCAGTACATTATCAGGTAGGCAATCTACCTGAGGTAGATCGCGGACCCCGTGCTGTTTGTACGGAAGTGTATGATTTAACTCTAAATTATCAAAGTTATACCAAGTTTATTTTGATATAATACGGTGGATTAATATAACAAATTTGGTTGCTCGTAAAAAATCACAACTCTTAAAAAATTATGATTGTTGAACTCCTTTTGGGTGCAACTTGCTGGGGTAAGTGCAACTCAGCCACCCTGGTAGGCAATGTTCAATAATTTGATTTGATGCAAGCTTGTACCTGATCTGCCCAAATAAATAAATGCTAATTTCTAATGTAGACTGTAACCAATGGCAACTGTTAATAAATAAAAATAAAATTTCCAATTTCCATCTTGAATCTCAATGTCCCTGTTTGAGCACCTATTTAAAATGCGAATTTCGAAAAATCCTTTCTTAGCGCACGTCTACATCATAATAGCTATCTGTATGCCAAATTTCAACCAGATCCGTCCAATGGTTTGAGCTGTGCGTTGATAGCAGTCAATCAGCTTACGGTTTTATATATACAGATATATATATATTATAATATATAATAAAACAACATTACCATGACAATATTTATTTATTTACGGACATGTACGCTTTCGCGTTCGTATGGCCGCCCGTTCGTCCGCGCCGCCCGTTCGCTTTTTTTTTTCCTCACTACCGTGCGTAAAGAAGTATAACTTCAAAAATATTTTGTCAAATTTAATATTTAATAAATAACCAGGATAAATGGATTGAAAGGATGAAAAAAAAATCGATTGCAGGTGGAATCGAAAAGTTGTAATATTTCTATTAAAATCTGTCCAAGGCTGTCCGCTCATAAAGCATCCATGGCCATAGGACGTACAAATATAAATTAATATTAAAGTCCACGTTTTTCCTACATAAACATGCTTTTAAACCGAACTATAAAAATTAAAAATATTTCAAATTATTTTCTAATAAACACAAAACATAGTATCAACATTAATAAATCATTTTTAGAAACCATTTATATGATAAAAATACATTTGAGTTTAAATAATTTCATAATATTTAGCAAATTTAAGAGCACAATATATATGGTACATGTATCATGATTATTGAATAAATTAGGTGATCATGCCATTATCAATTAATTATTAATATTTATTAAACAATAGAGTACAATCAAATTCTTAATGAACATAAAATAATTAAATAGTTTAATAATAGAAAAACACTTAATTTTAATAACAAAATAGGAAGTGTTTAAATATTATTTAGGATTTAAAGACACACTTTATTAGATCATCATAAGGCACAATTTTCTCACAAATTATAAACATAGGAAATTTACGGGTGCCGGTTGCCTCTTCGACGGTCATGTGTTCGAAAGTCGTGTGTTCGAAAATGTGTGTTCTAAGGTTCATGTCATCGAAAAATTGTGTCTTCGAAAAGCCATGTGTTCGATAAGTCATGTGATTAAAAGGTAATTTGTTCGAATAGTTATTTTTCAATTGTAATAAAATATTATATATCTATAATAATAATAAATATAATATTATATATATTATTAATATACGATCTAGAACGTGGTCCGATAACGAAAAATAGGTTATATCATTAAGCAATCGATAAGTGTAGTTTTAAGTATTAATAATTATTTATACATAAAAAATAAAGACTACATTAGAAAAATAGACAGTGTACATATTTTTTATTGGACTTGTGTAAAAAAATGTGGTGCAAAAATTCGGACTTTTTGTGAAAATAATGTACATTATATTGACAAGAATTGTATTTTTTCTGAAAATGACCATTTGCACGGAGCTGATCCAATAAGTGTAGGAGCAAGTAAATAAAAGAAACTATAAAAAAATCATGATAAACCAATACAAATATACCACGCTGCAATCGCAGGAACGTCTCAAACAATTACTTCACATGTCAGTAAAGAACCGGCTCGACAAATATTATTTTGTAATTTTGAATTGTAATTTACATTACAAATGAGTATTGTTTAAAGATTGTAGATGGGTGGACATTATTGAAACCTTTGTTTAAAACCAAAGCAGAACAACAATTATCACAATATTTTGAGGAAACGTATGTTTTGGGAAAATCAGGTATGCGTTTGAGAGGAAGACCAACAAAACAAACCATACGTAATCCACCAATGTTTCCTCCAGATATGTGGTCAGTAGCTGACCGCCTAAATCTTGGTTTGCCAAGAACCACAAACGTTGCAGAATCATGGCATAGGAAAATAAATAGAATAGTTTCTCCTAATCCACGTAAGTTGTAACAATTAATAGCTTAGAAATATATTTAAAATAAAAAAAAATTATGCTTCAGGTCTATTTAACTTCATTAAGTTAATACAAAAAGTGCAAAACGAAACAGAATCAACAGTTGAACAGCTTATACAAGAACGGACTTAAAAAAGAGCAAAAAAGAACGTCGATGTACAAAATGCTCGCCTTAAATGTATTCAACAAAGAATTTACGATGACGACAAGTTAGACAAGTTAGAATTTTTAAAAGGCATTCCACATAATTTAGCTTTATAAATATTTATTTTTATTTTCATACTAACATTTATTTTATACATTTGTAATAATAAATTTTAATTATATTATTACCTAGAATTTATGATGACGATAGTAAAAGCTGGCATTTTTAAAAGGCATTGCACATAGTTTAACTTTATAAATATTTATTTTTATTTTCATACTAACATTTATTTTACTTTAATAATAATACAATTTAATAATATATAATATTTTATTACAATTGAAACATAACTATTCGAACAAATTACCTTTCAAACACACGGCTTTTCGAAGACACAATTTTTCGATGACATGAACTTTCGAACTCACATTTTCGAACACTTGACTTTCGAACATATGATTTTCGGACAGTTGACACCCACCCGAAATTTACACATTTGACTGCAAAATAAACTCAAATATCATTTGAAATGTAAAGAATGTATTGAAAAAAAGAATTTTATTTACTAATTACTAAGGCACAAGTCATTTTGGACAAATACTAAATAGGATACAATTTTAAATTTTAATGTTTCAAAAAAATGTCTATTTTACTTTGAAAAAAAAAGGTTATCCTTGCATGGAAGGTTTAAAAATTAATAAATACAATGAAGTATATAATATTATTTGGAATTACATTTTCAATGACATAATATCAAATGTTTAACATATTATATATCTATACATAAATTCTAATAGGCAGATCACCTAAGCAACATTTTATTGTGATTCACTACTAGCTGCTTGTCTAGCAGCTTTGGCCTGCTCCCGTTTTCGCTTATTAATTTTTTTCTTTCTTCGACCAACCACAACTAAACGAGCTTTTAATATAGCATATTCTTTTTGTAGATTATTCATCATGTCGCTTAACACAGCTTGCCTTTGAGCCGTTTTCATTTCTGGAGCTAAAATGTTAAACGTCATGTCAAGATGATGTTATGAAAGATTATAATTAATAAAATAATAAATTATGTGTTAGAAATGTCCAGTCAGAATATCATGCAAAAAATATTCATAAATTATTTTATCTAATCTAATCTAGTATATTATATTATATTATTATAATCATTTAAACACACATTATCATAAGTTATCATAAGTTATACAAAAAGAAAAAATGTAACTATACTTACAGAATACAGGTATGAAAAGTAGAGATTTCCATTTTTTTTCTTCTTCATCTGGTTCTTTAACACGACTTACTATAAATTTTTAATTTATTTTATAATATATTCATATTATACATTAACAGGTTGACCGCCATGAGACCCTTTATGGGCTCTCACTGGTTTACTCAAAAACCCATGGTAATCAACTTGTTTTAATAACATTTACTATAAATCATAGTCATGGCGTAGGGAAAGTGGCCATCGCCCAGTACACAACATTGTGTACTGCAATAGCCCCACACTGACTTTAACTAGTTGGTGTGGTCTGGTCTTCTTGGTAGGGGGTTTAGAGTAGGGTTAACAACCCTACCTAGTAAAAAACAACATGTTCAGGATCAAGCAAATTTGCCTCGGGACAGAGTTTTTGGAAAATTGACTGGAAAACAGAAAAAGGAATTATCTTTCGGAACTTGGAACGTACGCACACTATTTAAATCTGGAGCAGTTCACAACATAGTGAATGAAGTTGAAAAATATAAAGTAAAATTAACATCATTACAAGAAATTAGATGTGCCAATACAGGGACGATGAATATAAACGAGACAACTATCTTCTATGGTAGCTGTACTGATCAACGTCAACTAGGGAACGGGTTTTGCGGTGCACAAAGATTTAGTCCCTGTAGTTAAAGAATTCAAAGATATTAACCCTAGAATAAGCATGTTAACAATAGAAGCACAGTGGTTCGATATAAGCTTCTTGAATGTACATGCCCCAACGGAGGACAAATCCCAAGATGAGAAAGAAACATTTTTTTGGAATTGGAAAGTTTGCTGAACTCGATTCCTAGCGATAGGATACAAATTGTACTAGGAGATCTAAATGCCAAAGTTGGGAAAGAAACAATGTTTCGACAAGTGGCAGGCAAACACAGTTTACACGATGAAAAAATTACAACGGACTTAAACTAATTGACTTGGCAACCGGGAATGGTTTAGTAATAAAGAGTACAATGTACCCACATAAAAATATTCATAAAGGGACATGGAGGTCACCAGATGGAAGATATACTAACCAAATAGACCATATTCTGGTCAATTCAAGATATAAAAATTGTATCTAAGATGTCAGATCGATAAGAGGAGCAGACTCGGACTCAGATCACTATCTCGTAAGAGGAAAAATGAAAATAAAACTCAAAAGACGCCCTTATACAAATATGGAAGAACTTACCAGATATGAAGTAACAAAACTGGATGACCCAAAATGTGTAAATACCTTCAGACATAAAATACGTCATGATTTTAATAACTGCGACTTTAACAGCATAGTATCGGTAGATGAAAGATGGAATAAAGCTAAGGATATAATAAACAAAACATTTGATGCTGTAATAGGAAAACAAAGGAAATCGAAGAAACTATGGTTTAACGATACTTGTAGGAGAGCCCTAAAACGGAAAAAAAAAAAAGTAGAATACAGTGGCTTAACGACACAGATAACGTAGAAAAAGAAAATAACTACATAATATGCAAAAAAGAAGTAAACAATGTAATCAGATACGAAAAGAGAAGGTACACGAAGACCATGCTAGAAGAAAGAAGAATACCAAAAATCGAATAGATCACGTCAACTATTCCAAAATCTCAATGCCCTTAGAACAGGATTCAAGAAACAAGAAAAGTTCTTAAAAAATTGCGATGGTACACTGATTACAGACCCAAACGATATCTTGGATAAATGGAAAGATTACTTTGAGAATCTCCTTAATTGCGACGAGCCTATAAACTCATTCACTTGGACTGACGTAGAACCAAACGAAATCGAATACCTCCCACCAGACAGAATTGAGATAGCAGAACAAATTAAGAGGCTGAAAAATCATAAAACTCCAGGTGAAGATGGAATACAGACTGAGATTTTAAAGAGTTTAGACGAAGAAACCATATCCAATATACATAACCTAGTAGAATTAGTATGGAAAGAAGAAAAAATCCCGGAAGATTGGAAAATTGCATTAGTGGGTCCGATATATAAAAAAAACGATCCACTCGAGTGCAACAATTATGGGGCATTGCTTTACTCAATACAACATACAAAGTTTTATCTTACTGCATCCTAGATAGAATTAAACCAATATCCGAAGGAATACTGGGAGACTACCAAGGGGGTTTTAGACCAAATAGATCTACTACAGATCAAATATTTATTATAAGGCAGATATTACAAAAAATGTGGGAGTTTGATAAGCAAGTCTATACCTTGTTTGTAGACTTTGAGAAAGCATACGACTCCATACATAGACCAACACTATATAATATATTATAAGAGTTCAATATGCCAAGAAAGTTAATTAACCTGATTAAAGAGACTATGGAAAATTCTGAAATAAAAATAAAAATAGCGAACTTTACGTCTAAATCGTTCAAAGTAACTTCTGGTTTAAGGCAAGGGGATGCATTATCCAAAATCCTTTTTAACCTAGTTCTGGAAAAGGTGGTCAGAGATATGAATATATCAGAAAGTATAACCTTAGGATTGTCAAAGATAGGCCTGCTAGCATATGCCGACGATATTGCAATCATGGGAGACAATATTGAAACAGTTAAAATACATTGTAAGAAGCTAATGGATGCTGCGGGTAAGGTTGGCCTCAGAATAAATGATAGTAAGACGGAATATATGAAACTCAACAGAAGAGACAGGACGTATAGACACGGAGAAAGTATGAATGTAGATGGACATATATTCCACAGGGTTCCACAATTTAAATACTTAGGTGTCCTCTTAACTCAGGACAATGAGTTAAAATTAGAGATTTCAAAAAGGATACAACTGGCCAACAACTGCTATTTTGGTTTGGGAACCCTGCTAAAATCTAGATCAATATCTCTAAATTTAAAAATAAAAATATATATGACATTAATACGTCCTGTCATCCTATATGGGTCAGAAACATGGGCTCCAAGAAAGATAGAAAAAATAAGATTGGACACCTTTGAAAGAAAAGTTTTAAGACGAATCTATGGACCTTGTCTCGACACAGGAACCAAAGAATGGAGAATTTGAACCAATGAGGAAGTATATAACTTGTTCCAAAGACCAAGTATTTCAAGGGAAGTTGCAAAAAGAAGACTGATGTGGGCAGGTCACGCGTGGAGGAAAAAAGACGCTATAATAAACACAGTAATTAAAGAGGATCCGAAAGGAAAAAGACCACTAGGCAGACCACGCCTCAGATGGGAAAACTGTGTGAAGAGAGAAGTAAAAGAAGTAGACCCAAGAACAAACTGGAGAGAAATAGCTGAAAATAGAATAAGGAGGAGGGAAATTTGTTTTACGGGATGGTCTTAAAGGCAGGAAAACCAAAAAAAAATAAATAAATAAATAAATCATAGTGAATATATATTTTGATCAACAGCTGTGAAAATTGTACATTTAGTGAATTGCAGATAATTTTTTTTTGTTCAAATAATAATATTTCTAATATAATTTTATTAATTACCAAATGTTTATTACAATATAAGAAATTATAAAATATTTTTTTGTTCTTGATATTTAAGTATATTAAATGTTCACAAATTTATTTATTTTAAATTTTATAGGCAAAAAATTATATTTTGGTATTTATGTGATTGTACAATAATTACTAAAAGATATCATTACTCAATGGAGCATGGAAAATTCACAAAAATTATTTGTAACATATTCAAAATAGACAGAAGTAAATGATTAGCCTCTGAGTTTAATTAAAAATACTAATATTTTGAAAACTACCTGATGGGATAGGAGCCGTAGTATTAGATAATTTACTGCGTTTTGATGTTTGTTCATGACTACTAATTTTGCGTTTGAATTGTAGTTTTTCTTGTGGCTTTGCTATTTCTGTGAGTAAATTCATTAATAATATTATAAAATATTGAAATATCTCGTTTTATATACTACTTACTCTGGACTATTGTCTCTGGTTCTCTTTCAAGTCGTTCTGTAACTGATGGTTCATTTATATTCATACCAAGTTTCTTACTAGAAATCTCAGATAAGAACAATAAATGTTGTTGGTCAAGAATTGCTCCATCTCTATAGTTTTTGATAAAAATAAAATGTTAATTATTAAATCAGTATACATTACAATTAATTATAATATGATAATGAACAGGTCCCACCAAACAATCTAAATAATGAAATAGTAAATTAAACTATTAAGTATCATCAGTTAGTAAGCTCTAATATTTTCAATCGTTTAAAGACGTCTTAACTAATTAACCCCCCTTCCCTCGTTGTTGCCGTCTCATTAATGCATATCATACAAACATTAAGTTAGGGTTTTCCAATTTTGTGTTGTTAGATAAATATTAGGGCACTTATTATCAAACTTTAAGGGTGATATTATCCGTGTCCTCTGGTTGGTATAATTACAATTTTTTAAATTTCAAGTTAGTTACAACCGTTCTCAGTATATAAAGCAGTGCTTTTCAAATGGTGTTCTGTGAGCGTTAGAACTGTTAAATCTGTTTAAATCTAGAAGCAACAAAAAACGTCAAGCCATTCGTGTTTAACTTTAAATTATAATTTTAAAAATCAACAAAAGAACACAGATAATGTTACCTTCTAGATATTCGCTAGACTAAACCGGTGTGAAAAATACTGCATCGAGATGTTTGGACCATATCATTTACATGGTTCATTATCCCGGTGCGGGATAATGTGGGATAATTTTAAACCGGTTTAGTCTAGCAAATTTCTAGCTTCAGTCTTATATTAAAACTAATAACATAAAATTGTAATCACTGATCACAAATCTGCCATGTTATCAAATCTTAAATCTATATGATATTCTACTAATACAATAAAATTACTTTTTAAGAATATTAGTATATTCTTCCATTTCTTCTTCCGTAGCACCCATCAATGTCATCATTGGTCTACATAAAGGTTGATTCATAGCATACATAGCTGAAGCAGCTTCTCTTTCTTCATAGAGTGTTTGAGCTTTTTTTCTTCTTTGTTCATATTGCTCTTCTGATTTACCAGTTGGACTACCTGGTATCGTTTCTTCACAAATAAGAAAACTATTTACATCATATTCAGAATTATAAACACTTTTGCTAGTACTGGGCAAAGAGTTTTCATAAAAGTTGCTTTTACTAGTACTTGATATATTATGATCATAGAAGTCTTTGGTACTGCAACTTGGAATATTTGGATCAAATAAACTACTTTTTCCATGGACATTTGTATCAAAAATAACATTTTTGACTGCTTGACTAGCTTCGAAGAAACTATTTTTTGCGTCACTCCTTGTGTCAGCTACATAAAAACTATTTTTGCTTGTACCTGGCTGATATATCGAATCAAAGAAACCTTTACTAGTACTAGGCTTATAAATGCCATGTTCTGCAGATTTACAATTGTACTCTATATTTAAAAGGTTTTTGAGAGTATCTTTATCTTCTATTTCTTTTCTACATTTCAATTCTGGAAGCACCATAGTTTTTTCTTTATTATATTTATCTTTAACATTTTTTACTACAAAATCACATGTTTTAGGCTTATCATTAATTGAAGGTTCAGCAATGACTTCTCTAACTTCAATTGAAGGTGGTTTAGAATTTGGATAAAATTCAAAACAAGATTTTGTATTTTCATAATTATTATCCATATATAGTCTATTTTGACTCGAATGGTTTCTTTGAACAAGAGAATATTGAAAGCTTTTGTTACAGTATGCGGTACTTTGATCATCTGTATCTTTAGGTATACTTATATCTCTTTTTACATGAGATGATCTTTTATAATCTATTTCAATATTAGTATGTTTATATGGTCGCAGTAGTGGCAGGGACTGTGATTCTATGTTTTTATCAATTTGTACATTGGAAGAATTATGTTTTTTGCTAATAACCACAAGATCAGAATCCTTATGGTTATCAATTTCTATTTTATAATTTTCAGCATTAACTAATTTTGATTCATCATAATCTTCATCATCATCTCCTTCTTCAACAATCATGTCATTAGATTCATAATGCTCTGGCATACTAAAAATGTTGGTAGGTGGTGATTCAGGTGGTTTCATGCTCAGATCCAAAACTTCATATTTTGAATCAGAAACATACTGAAAACGTTGCTCAATTTCATTAATATTTGGCGTATTTACCATACCACCTTCACTTATCGAGTTTTGAAATTCATTAGAATCATTGTTGGATTGATTTATCATAATTGGATTTTCAATTTCATTTATAATGTTAAAATACTCTGGATCATTATTTTTAGATTTTACTTTCGGTGACAAACAATGATTTGGAGCAATTTTTAGTTCAATTTGTATACCCTCTATTTTATTTTCATTCTGTGCTTCTATATTTTCATTATCTGCATTTGGCTTTATACTATAACTTGGAGGTTCAAATGGCTGTTCAAGTATAACTTGCTTACATATATCAACTTCATTCAATTGACTGCTAATAACTCGCCGCAAGAGTAATTTTTTCATAGGATATATGATTGGATATTCAGTCTTTTCATGATCATCAGTATCTAAAGGCTCAGTTTTTATAATAACATCTGGTTCTGATTTTATGACTTTTTTTATACTGTACTGTTTGTATGATCCTTCACTTACTGTGTATTTTCCTTCCAAATCAGAATTATCTACAATATAATTAAAAAAACAAAAATATAATACATCACTATGCATATTTTACAAAAAATAATCTAAAATTCAGTTTTTATCAATTTTAGTTTTAAGTATTATATTATACTTTTTTCTAGAACTTACTCTCAATGAAAACTATATACATTATAAAGACAATGTAAAAATATTGAAAAATTAAACATAGTTTTCCAATTTTATAGTTTGGTGTAATGGTTTTTTAATTTAGTAATTGGTTGGGCAGAAAGTAATGTTGACCCACCCAAGTGATTTGGTTATTAAAATGTAAAGGGACTTTTAAAATAATTAGTGAAAAGAAGAAACAAGTTTACAGAAGATATGATCATTAAGAATGGAATATTATGACAATAATAACAATCAGCCAGAGGACAAATTAAATTAAATAATTACTGAGCACTGTTATGATATACACATGTCGATACGTAATCAGTAAGATTGGTAAGATACAAAGACAAAGATTAAATCACCGAAAATGTGAGTAGGGCGTGGATTTATTACAATAATGAATAAATAAAAGGCACATGATTTTATTGATTTTTTTTATTTCATAATTTATGAAAATAAGCACCAATCATCTGGTTTCCATCCATGGTCTTTATATGTATTTATAAGTATTTATTAATATAAGGGAACAATCGAAGAAATGCACCCACACTTAAAACAATATGACTAAAACACAATTTTGTAGAGATAAATAATCATCAATCAAATTGATACTCATTATTATCTGAAAATAATAAAAAATATATGTGGGAGAACAGACCTTTCATTATTAATGGACAAAAAAATAATTGATGATAAATTACCTACTTGGGGTTTATCTGAGGTAGCTATGGATTCGTCAGATTTTGTATTGATTTTGTCTATGATAGCAGCGGGTTGCAAAACCCAAAAGAGATGTCATAAGAAATGATTAATATTAATTAATAGCTTAGTGAATTACAGAGTTAAATACCTCGGCAAAATCTGTAAAGATTACATAATTTGAGAACTATCAGCAAAGGTACAAAGTGTGTTATTAAAAAATATAAAACCTTTGTGGTCTGTAGATGAGTATGTAATTATAGACAGAAGGTTAAATGGCTGAATAAATGGCTGAATAAATGGCTAATGGTTCAATAGTTATTTAATTCCACGGGAAAAAACTATCGACAAATTATGAAAAACCACTAAAAATGGGATTTTAATTTCTAATTTTAGTTTTATTTATCACCATAGCAAGAACAAAAAAAGTAATATTATAATATTAATTTAGCTTACTGGCTATAATAAAAAATAACAATATAAGAAATCCAGACTGATAAACCATCCCTGCTCAGAATCGTTTTTCTTATATAGTGATATTATGTCATTGAATACAAATTTAATACCATATATTATACAGTGACCCACTTATAACCTATTGTACAGCAGAGCGACATCCACTTATTCGCTTTTCTAAATATTTTTCTATTATAATTAATTATACTGATTTTAGATTTTGAGCGGATGAATTATGAATTATGATGATGTGTGATTTTTCTATCCATCAACATTTGGGGTAGTAAAATTGCTCTGATTTTTGACATTAGCATCTTTTCTGATAGAAATGTGAAGCTAGTTGGTACTTTTGAGAAGTCAAAATTGAATATTTCAAGTAGTTTTAGAAATTATTCAAGAAAAACAAAAAAAAAAAAAAAGTGGTAATTTTTAAGCAAAACCAATTTTAGATATTTTATTTTACAATACGGGATGGAACCTTTAATAACATGAATATAGACAATAATAATTTGCTTTAAAGAAAGCTATTTTAGAGGGAGAATGAAGGGTCAGTTTTGGCATTGTGCATAAGACAGATGATCGGTGAGTTAAGATAGTAGTTTGTGGAAAAGAATGGTATATGGAATGGAACAGATGATCATGTACGGAGGGGACTTTAAAAGAGACTTTTGAGAGTGATTCTGGACTGTCAATTTTAGAAAGAAGATTAGATTGAAATGATAATATATTAGCTGAGTGGCGACAATTAGCTAGACTACCTAAGGAAAAAAGGAGTTGGATTGGCGTATAATTGTGAGGTGGACATGATATGTTTAATTTATAAGCAGTGACGGAAGAATTTTCTTTGAATCCTTTCAATCATGCTACGTGCGGAAGCGATGGACGGGTTCCAGGGGATGGTTCCATACTCAAGGATGGGACGGACTAAGGAACAGAAAAGAGTTTAAGTGGAGTGAGCAGGTGAAATTCTGTAGACACAATTTATGAAACCTAGCAGTTTAAGAGCTTTACGACAGATTAACTGAATGTGCATATTAGGGCACAGGTCGTGTTAGAGTGAATACTAAATTATAAGAAATTATTAAGGGGTAATAACCACAAAAAGTCATTATTGAGCATTTCATAATATTAATAGCTAGCCCCTAAGATTCATCCCATGTTACTAATCGCTGAAAGTCGTTTTGGAGGTAATGACAGTTGATACGCAAGAAAATTTTCATATCATCAGAAAAGATAAGATGTTTGGCATGGTGGAGGATGGAGGCGGCTGTGTTACGAATAGGGCAAACAAAAGTGGAGAAAGAACAGCACCTTGTGGTACACCTGAAGAGGGTGTTAAGTGGTCCGAAGAGGTGGAATCAACAATAAATACATTATATTGTATTTTATTTTTTATTTTGAAAATTTAACGCAACGTTTCTTAAAAGTTTCATTTATGGAAGTTCAAAAATATTAAAGACACATATGCACAATTATTTTTATATCGATTTTAAATCCTTTTTAATTGTTATTTATATTATATCTTATGAGGTTACACAATACGACAAATTACATTTTGATTAAAGTTTCATCATTATTCGATTGATAATAATTAATGATTTTCATCTTGTGGAAAAATAATCATGTAACTAAATATTAAATAGCTAGTAAAAACAATAACTATTATCCATAATAGGTGCATAATGTTTGTTTACTATGTTTGCACCTATCTATATATTTCTATAAAATAAATTAATAATAATATTTCGCTTACCAATATTATATAAGGTACGATCAGTCAAAGTACATGTTCTGGTTGGTCGAGCACTGCTAAAAGGTGATTTTTTTACATTTGATTTTGGTGTAAGTGGAGTAACTGAACTTCTGGTTTTACTACTTCTTAGCGGTACCTTTTTTAAATCCACATTTTTTTGCTAAAAAAATATTAATATTGTTAGATGTTTGGTAGGATGTATGCTGTTTTTCTTACAAGTATAATTAATATAATAATAACAACCAAGTCTGTGTACATTCAAGTATGCATAAACAAAATACTAAATGAGTTGAAATTTTAAAAAGCTTACTATCAAATATGAATTGAAAACATTCAAACTTTAAACTAGTATATTCAATACGTCATAATTTCAAAAGCACAAAAAAATTGTTTAATTAAATAACAAATTATTTTTATTAAATTATTTAACAGAAAATAATTAAATTAACATACAAGTTTTAACATCCATAATGATTATCATTGTTCAAAATGACTATGTAGTTACAGATATTATCAATCTATAATGTATAATTCTAAACAACTTACAGAAAAAAAAACTTAATATCATATATTAATTTAAAAATAATAATATGCAGTGTTGTATTTCTCAGCAACAACCGATAAAAACGATTATAATCAGAAATTTATCTATGTTACTTAGTGTATATTAGCTTTAATCATAGCCAAGCTTGATAATATATTGCCTCATTTACTTTCAAACCGATAGATAGCAGTATATAATTGGAAAAAACTAAACTATTTATCAATGGACAATATTCTGGGTTTTTTTTTTCAATCATATTTAATCTTGAAATATGTCTATGGATAACAATAAAAATATAACCGTGTTTATATATATCTAAACTTCAGATAATTTCCAAGGTTATACAGATAAGTCAAAGATTTTATTTGTAAATCAATAATGCACAGTTGTTGCTCATAGGCAACAGTACGCATTTATTCGTTAACAGTTCGTCATCGTTTTTCCTCCTTTGTGTACATGCATATAGGTAATTTTACTATAAATTTTATTCTGATCACTATAACCGAAAACCTGATCACAGTACGCGGCGAAAAATGCACTGAAGACGGCTGTTTGTTCCGTTCCTGACATTTTTGATCACTAAAAGCGGCTGATTCTTATAACCAGTGAACACTATAAGCGGCGACCACTGTAGTTGGTTTAGAGGCACTCAATAAATTTTTAGAAAATATTGATGACAATGAATTAGATTCATTTCTTAATTCTTTAAACTTATTAGTTAGTAATTTGGATATTAATGTTGATATGGAAGATGTTGAATGTGAACCTGACAGCTCATTGATACTTCTTCCAAACTCTATTTCTGTACAACCGCATACAAAAAATGAAATATATAAGACTCCAGACCTCAAAATTAAAAAACTAAGAAAAAATGCCAAATTTGATATAACCATACCTCCTTTTATTACTAAGGGCCGCTTTCACCACTACTTTAAACTCCGATTAAAGTTAAACCGGGGTTTAATCGGCCGAATTTGCCCGGTTAAATATCTGTTATCAGTCGATTAAGCGTAATCGAAGTTTAAAGTATTTGGTGAAAGCGGCCCTAAGTCTCAGCCTAAAATAAAAAACAAAAAAAGCAATAATTGGATTTTTCTTGGAAACATGAACAATTGTCTTCCCAAAATGTAGACTTTACTGGTAACACTGAACTTTCGGATGAAATTTTAAATTGATGTACTCCCTATTATATATTTGGTTACTATTTCCAAGACGATTTAATTGATCATAATATGATTATTATTATTATTGTGTATGAAACATTGATATATAGCTTACACATAGACCCAAATAAAAATTTTAAAATAATTTCAAATGACATGAAAAAATATTTAGGAGTCAGTCTATTAATGGGCTTGGTAAATATTTCTAATATTCGAAAATACTGGTCTCCAAATTTAGGAAATCAAATTATTCAAGAAATGATAAGCGTCAACATGACAGATTACATAAAATTAGGCCAGTTATGGAGAGTTTAAAAAAACGATTTGCTTCTATACCTTTAGAAGAATCTTTATCTATAGATAAGCAATTATTATGGTCAACTAAAGCTCGTACATTTTTCAATCTACCAACAAATCCCCATAAGTGGGGGTACAAATTGTTTGTATTATGTAATATATTTGGTTTTTCCTACAATTTTGAAATGCATAGTAGCCAGGAAAACAATGACGATAAAAGGTATTCGTGGGAACCAGATTTTGGTGATTCGGGAAATGTAGTCGTTCGACTATGTAAAATATTTCAGAAAAATATGAATTTTAAAGTTTATTATGATAACTACTCTGTCTGTACCATTTATAGTGTATATGAAAAACCGTCAAATATGTTCTTTGGGAACGGTTAGCAGAAATCGCTTAAATAATGTCTTATTACCTAATGCAAAGCATTTTTTAAAAAAATCACGAGGTTCGTCAGATTATGTTTTAGCAAACATAATTAACCAAGAAATTTTACCACATGGTGGCATGATAACAAAGTGTTACTTTACTATCTATAGTTTGTGGAAATCAATCCGATGTCTAAGGTAAAAAAAAACATACTTCTGGAGGACTGCTTTTTGAAGAATCCGCATTATCTACTTCAAGTCCTGGTTCCGGGTCCTTAGTTTTATAAGCAATACGCATTGCATCTATCCATTCATCATGACGTGAATTCCATCCTTTGTAATGTACGTAATATTTCTTTACACCTTCAATATCACACACACTAATAACCTAAAAATGTATCGTATTTGTATCATTTGATTATTTCAAATAATAAAAATGTTAAACATTACATCAAATTATTTAAATTATCTGGTCATGGTATAATTATTAAACTTAAATTAAACTTAAGACTAAAAAAATTTAACTTTTAAATAAAAATTTTTTAGAATAAGAACAATTTAAATGCAAAAAATAACTATGTAACTATCAAGTAAGAATAATTTTAAACACTTTAAATAAGCACTCATTTAATTGAATTCATATTCATTTCATATTAATTCATAAGATTTATAAGTTATAGGTAAATATATTGAATAAAAAACAAATGATCAGTATTTAATTTGTTTACATATATATACCCGTTTTCAAAAGAGAACATATAGGCCAGCGAAAAATGTATGTCCGGCGGAGCGCATTCCCCCCAAAAAAAAATTTCCTAGTGTGAGCGTCTTCACGTGGTTCTTGACGCACCGATCGAATCATTCGACAAGCGCGATAACAGTATGTTCTTTTTTGAACACGGGTATAGTTTGTTTATAACAATAAAAACTAAGATTTATTATTTTGGCAGAATGTAATTTAGTGTAGGTATAACACAATATTATTGAAGTAAGATATATTAAAAGTGTATTTAAATAACTTACTTTTGCATTATCAGTTGTTGCGTCTTTATTTCCATAATATACTACCAAATTATCTCCAACAACTACTGGTGTGTCTTTATCAAATGGTACATTCTCAATATTACTAATTAACAAAACGTTATACCAATATTAAATAATATAAAATACATAGAACTCATTAATATTTATATATTGTTCATAAAGTAACATACACGGGTGTAAGAAGTATATTGTTTGAAAACACTTTCTCCTCTTAGTATCCTTTTTCTTTCTCTTCCCAGATTCTTCTTTCAGAACCATCCTCTTCTTTAATTTTAATTAGATTTTCAACAAGAAGCCCAGGCTGTGTTAGTTGTACAACAGAAACACTGTCACCAAGATTACTTAATACTGATACTCTCCTTGATTTAGTAGGTAACTCTTCTTTAGTTTTTGAACGTGTAAACTAAAATAAGAAAACAATACATTAATTTTTAAAAATAAAATTTATAAGTAATGAATAGATGTTAAGATTTAATTTTGAAAACTAAACTTAATTCATCAGCTATACCAAAATATTTAGCAACTATTAAAATTAAATATATTGAATTATAAATTGAAGCTGAGTACATAATTTATCTTCTTTCATAAATTAAAGTTATTTTAAATTAAAATTTTGGAAATATTTTAGAGAAGAAATTATATTTTTTATTTTTTCATACAATAAAATAAATAAATAAACACAGTATAATTCGACTTAAAGTCAATAAATAATAAGTATCGTTAAAATCTGAAATTAAAATATCATTTCAACCGTCTAAACAATTATTAGCCAATACAAAATTAAACTCCTGATTAAATTAAGTAATAAAAAGTATAATAATATACAACATATTAAACAAAAGTTACTTTTGATATTTCATCATCAAGTTTTCCATTATTTGAAGAATCTTGCTGGGTATAAGAAACTCTTTTTTTAGACTTTTTGAATGGAGTAATAATTTCTTTAACAGTTTTAATTTGTTCTTTGATACCTCTTGTTTTTCTCAGTCCTGGTAACCCAGTATTTGCATTTTCTTTTACAACTTTTTCGTTTTTAATAATTTTTGGCAATGATTTTTCAAATACACACAATTTTTGTTGCATTTTTTTATCTTCAATGATTTGATAATCATCTACTGCTTCAGAATCTATCTCTTTTTTTATCTCCTTTTTTAAGATTCCTTCCGTTTCTTTTTTTGTTTTAGAACTTCCAACTTGATTTTTTGTTTCTGTTATTTCGGGATCCCATTTCACTGATAGTTTATTGACTGATGTAGTAATAGCAATATCTTTTTCCTTTTTATCGCCTTTCTTTGAAGTTTCTTCATTATTTTTTACACGTTTTTCTTCAGCTTTAACAGCTTTAGCTGTTTTTTTAATTACAGCAGATTTCTCATTTTTTTTATCATTCAGTTCATTATTTATACATTTAATTTTATCAGTTGCAGTGCTAGGTAATGCCTTATCAACGTCTCTAATAATGCTGCGACTAAAACTGCTGCGCGATCTTTCTCCTCTTGGATGATTTAACAGGGTACATCCGAGTTTTCGATAAAAATTTTCAAAATTATGTAAATATCTGTAAAGCAACACAAGAAAATTATTAATATTGTATATATTACATTTTTATTGTTAAAAGAATAGGTAAATTTATAAAAATAAATTGTAATTTACTTATATTTTTTTTTTATTTATTTATGCACAATACACTATTTTATACAAAATGTGCATCATCTAATTTAATTAAACTATTTGATGTTTTAGCAACATTAGTTTATATTATGAATTAAAATGAAATTTAAATTTGTCACTATAATATGTAATTTTAATTACATTTTACTAAGTTATTTAAACTAATATTTAATAATTGGAAGATAATTAATTTAATATGAAAACAAACTTTAATTTGTAATACCTTGCCTTGGAACTCAATGTTTCAAATATAAAATCATAATTATTTTCAAATTTAAGATCACAATCTACTTTTATTATGTAACTACAAGAAAAATATATCATAGTCAACTCGCTTAAAAATAAATTACTGATTATTAATAACAATTTTTTTTTATGTGTCCTTGTAAATATATAAATTAAATATTAAAAAAGTTGTATGCAAATTAAAAAATACGTTCATAACATTTAAGATTTATCAATACTTTTAAAAAAAATTAAAAAAAAATGTATCAAACACCTGCATGCGTTTTCTCTGTCTTACAAACACATAACATACCAAATTCTATGCTCAGCAGATCATGCTTAGTTCTGTTAATTTAAGATTAGAGGGATTGACCTCTTATACAATTTAAAGGTAAGATTATTATTAAGTGAACCTCATATTTTTTTTTTTAGATTTTAATTTTGAAGCAAATTGTGAATAAATTAGAAGTCTAAAATTATTCAAAACTTGTAAATGTATTTGGATAAGATATTAAATGCAATAAAACAAATAAGTATAAACATTATACAAATTTAAAATGTAATAAGTACTAATCTATTAACTGAGACATCAATATAAGCCTTGTGTATAATTCTATTTATTGCAACTACAAAGAAAATTCTAAAATGTAAACTTATTCATAACTCATAATCTTGGTAGTAAGGTATATTGTTTTTTTTATTAATTTTAGTTTGTTTGTCATTTAAAGAATACAAATAATAATAAATACTAAAAAATATATCTAATATTTAAAATACAAGTACATAAGAATTTTATATTAATGGCATAATAAAAAATTATGTTCAAATAACTTATATACAGAACACATGATGATATTATTTATGAAAAACATTTTTATGAATATGTTCAAAAAAAAAAAAAACACTAGGTATATTGATATTTAATAAAAGTAAAATTGATAATTTAGTGTTTTTTTTTTATTTAACAATTAATATATTTAAAGAAAGCTTATTAAACATAATATTATGAATTACAATGTTGTAGATTTAAAATTTTAGCCTAGATAAATATAATTTATTATAAATAAATATACTTACTGTTGATAACAATGTTTAACAGAAAAATATGACTCTTTTTCATGTCCAGCTTTATAGGCAACAAACTTCCATAGTTCACCTTTATTTACCTTATTATACCCACCACAATTATCAACAACCTAAAAATAATTAAAGAGTATTAATTATTATTAGATGGATGTGAAGTTATCATTTATAAATAATACTTGTAAATTTGAATGAAACATATCAGGAGAGTTAACTTAATTGACTTGTTTATTTTGCAGAAGTTTGAAAGTTTGAAATTTTGAAAAAGTATGTAATTTTTTTATAGTTATTGTTAAGCACGCTTGAAGACTATTTGTATTTGAGAATATCAAACAAATTTGTATGTATTATTTATTTAAGCAACAATTAGTTGATGTATAAAATAATTAGATTTCAATTGGTATAAGAACTTAAATATAAATAACGTTGATACAAATAGTATAAACAAATTATAATTTTTTATGCAAATATAAAAGATATCAACACCTAATTAATGTTTAAAAGAACCACAACTGACTATTTCTCTCCCAATCATATCTTATAAAAAACATATTATATTATTGCACAATATAAATCAAATACCTTATATAGCTTATATAAATCAACATCTTTCCCATTAATCAATGGAGCTTGATCAATAGGAGTCCCTCGGTCATCCATAAATTTAAACAGCCATGCGACCAAATTATCTTTTTCTTCAATTGATTCTTTATCAGAATTCTAAATGAAAAATAATGTAATAAATAAAACATATCAATAGTAAAATGTAAATTTTTAAATTTCAAAACTAGTTGGGATTACATTAACATAGTATTCCCACCAATCATTTTTACTTGTTTATACTTACATCGCTTACATCGCTTGGTTCACAATCTGTAGGAATACACATTTTATGAACACCAAATAATGAACTTTATCCCAGTGTGGTGGGAGTTCATCTTTTTCCTTCATTGCTGAAGCTTCTTCTACTCCGCTCTCCCTTTATTGTACAGAACAAGTAGTTGAAATTGAAATATGCAAGTAACTACTAAATTGTATGTATGTATGTATGTATGTATGTATGTATGTATGTATGTAAACAATTAATTACCTGATACTCTTTTTATGTGTTTGAACTCCACGACTTTCAATTTCAGTGGTTCTTAGAGGAGTAGCACTATCAGCAGAGTGTTTTCCACTTTTCAAACATATTGCTGTTCTTTTTAAGCATTTAATATCTCCATCATTAAATACTGCGAAAAAACTAAAATTAAATACATAAATAAATATAGTTATAGGAAAATACATACCAACAGTGTATTGACTACAATCTTGAATTTTTTTAATTGTTGCTGGAACTAGTTCTTTTTTACCACTACATTTTACATTAACAGTAGCTCCCACCTTGACATAATAAAAAGTATATTAATATATATTAAACAGTCAAGTATAATATTAGAATTTGATATAGATGATTATAATTTACAACCTTTAATTGTCCTTTCACTGCATCATCTGTGACAAATGTTGCTTTTCCATTAGAATATTGAACCTTAACAGAAACGTATGCATTATTAGTATGAATATTTAAAAATAAAAATTTATAAAATATATAAATTGGCGCACTTTGCATTTTACAGATTTTAATATTTTTCTTATTTTTGCTTCACAAAAGGCCCCTTTAAATTTGGCACTGACTTCTGTTCCAACAGAAAGAAATGGGGGTTCATCCAAATTTACCTAAATTTCACATATAAAATATAATTCTTTTCTCTTCAACAATAAAATAATATTAACCTTCTATCGGTCGCACTGGGTAAAGAATCTCCCAGCTCAAATACTAATGTCATTAAACCTTTCTCAAGATAACGTATCTACCTTATATGTCGTATACCTGTTGATAATATAATTATCTAACTTAATGAGTCAATCAGTTTTTTTTAACTTTAAACTTTAAACTTTTTTTTTATTTTGTTTATTCAATCAAAAAATGTTGTATTAAAAACAACAAAATGTCCTTTAAATAATATATATAATATACTGTATTCAAAATGAG